TATCTCAATCCCTGAATAAAAGACACCTACTAACAGAAAGTATATGAAAACAGGATCCGTCCTTCTGTTGCATTTAAAAAAACCACATCTTAGCCGGGTGGTGGTGGCGCACGCCTTTAATCTCAGCACTCGGGAGGCAGAGCCAGGTGGATCTCTGTGAGTTTGAGGCCAGCCTGGGCTACCAAGTGAGTTCCAGGAAAGGCGCAAAGCTACGCAGAGAAACCCTGTCTCAAAAAACAAAACAAGAAAGTAAATCTCTTGATAAGTAGAAAGAGTTTTGGTTCTATAGGACATGAAGGTTTGAATTCAGTGTTAGGACCTTTGGTTCTGGTTTACTTTGTTTGTTTGTTTGTTTTGTTAGGTAGATTAAAAGACAAAAGCAATGTTAAGCAAATACGGATGTTATAAACGCTGAAGTGTTTCATTGGGCTGTGTAATTTGTGGCATAAGACTCTTGTGAGTAGAACTGGTTAATTGAGAGGGTTAGACTCTGAGGTCAAGCCTTGCTTGCTCACAAGAAGCTGCAAGGATCCATGTGGCTTTTAGGAACGGAGGGGTGAAGTTAGAGATGATCGCAGGATGAATAGATGTACATGTTCCCCTTATGGGGACAGAGGATGTGCACTCTGTATCTTAGAACTCTCAGACAGAATGCCTTCATCCTTTAAAGATTAAATTCAGATTGGGAATATGTCTGGCAGTTGATGCAGCAGGAAGACATCACAGGTCCCCAGTTCCACAAAAAGAAAAATTAAAATAAAAATGGAGGGTGCCGTGAGTAGTAATGCACATTTTAATCCCAGCACTTGAAGAGCAGAGGCAGGAGGGTCTCTGTGAGTTCAAGGCCAGCCTGGACTACATAGTGCATTCCAGGACAGCCAGGGCTACATAGAGTGACCATGTCTCAAATAGAGGGCTGTGTTGTAATTAAGTAGACAGTGTGCTTGCCTACCATGTGCAAGGTTTATGCAAAGCATTAGCCAGGTGTGGTGGCATCTGGTTATAATCCTAGCACTCAGAAGGTAGAGACAGGAGGATCAGAAGTCAGTTTGAGAAAGCCTGAGCTACACAAAACTCTATCTCAAAAAGAAAATGATTGCCGGGTAGTGGTGGCACACACCTTTAATCCCAGCACTTGGGAGGCAGAGCCAGGTGAATCTTTGTGAGTTTGAGTCCAGGCTGGTCTACAGAGTGAGATCCAGGACAGGCTCCAAAGCTACACAGAGAAACCCTGTCTCAAAAAAAAAAAAAAAAAAACCCAAAAAAAGAAAGAAAGAAAGAAAGAAAGAAAGGAAGGAAGGAAGGAAGGAAGGAAGGAAGGAAGGAAGGAAGGAAGGAAGGAAGGAAGGAAGAAAAAAAGAAAAGAAAATGATCATGTGGTCTTGTCTCAGAAAAAAAAAAGAGTATGTTAAGCATGAGAGCACATGCCTGTAATCTCATCCCTTGGAGGTGGAGAGAGGAAAAGTGTGAGTTTGAGACTAGCCTGGGTTACATAGCCAGACCTGTTTCAAATACCACTCGTGTGTGTGTGTGTGTGTGTGTGTGTGTGTGTGTGTGTATACATGTTAACATATGTGTTATACATCTTTTAAAATTTCTGTGTATACATGGGTATGTATATGCTATGGCACATTTGTGTAAGTCAGAGCACAACTTTTCAGAGTTGGTTTTCTTCTCCCACCCTGTGGGTCCCAGGGATCCCACTCAG